GAATGGAAGTCCAAAATATCATCTGGACAGGACACTAGTGTAGGCTTTAAACCTAGTCTGTGTTCCCTCTCTCCTGATTTTGTGGCTCACGATTACACACGGCATTTAAAAACTGAAACGAAGGCTGGGGGTGGGGGGGTAGCTTTACATTAGCCCATGCCTGCGTCAGGCCTTCACTACACCCGGTCCCTACCACCTATACCCAGCGTGGCTGATGGACTTCAAACTGTCAGAAGTTACCACACACAGAAGATGATAAATAAGGGTTTGCTTACCCTAGGCCTAGTAATTTTCTACAAAGTGGGTCTACATAAGAAGAAAAAAAAAGAGTTTAAATGAACTTTTCAAAGTGAAGTATTTCTCCCCATACTGACACTGAGCTCTTCTCAGTAGCTAAATCTGGAATGCTTACTGTATGCGAGATTCTATACTGCTTACTAATTTATAAGAGCAAAAAAAAATTGCTGATACTTATCTCTGTTCATTTCTTTCACCACAACAGCCCAAACAAAACAAAACGAAACAGGCTTTCCACCTAAAGTGCTCTGACCTCCTTTTCTAATTATAGCGGGGGTGAGGCACTACCTACAACCAAGTTCTCCAAGAGGCAGAGGTACAGGATTCCAGTTTGTACCATTAGCTAGCAGTACTAACTTGAACAAAACACTTCCCCATGTCTCATTTTCTTCATGCCTCAAATAACACTGAAAATTTAACCTTTTAAGCTTTGAAAGAGGCAACTCAGATAACAGATGAACTATTCTGAAATGTAAAAATTACTTTATAAATCTCAAGGTAAAAACCAAATATAAGAACACTATTCCTGATGCTTGGCAAGTAATCCAGAATAAGGAGCATGGATTTGATTTTATGTTAAAAAGACATCCTTCAGTGTGTGGAGAAATTCCAAAGTCTTTATCAATTTTAAAACTGTAAGGTGGAGATGGTAAAAACCATAATGCAATAGCAGAATGATTTGAACATAAAAGTGACAAGGCAAGTAAAGGACGACATTACCCTTCATGCAACCTAACAGGTACAGCATAAACTGAAAGACCATAATAAATACAATACCAAGTAATTTTTTTTTGGAAGATGGAACTTTGCAGGTAGCTAGCTATGACAAAAACCCGAGAAATGAGGTAATCTATCTTCATTAAAGAAAGGGCTATGTTCCTACAATACACTTTGCCAGTAGGAAACTACTGAATAAGGATGCAACCTAGAGAATGGGCTCAGGAGCTTGGCAGGACATCTCTCTCCTCCAGGGAAAGGTGGACTACAGATCTGCCAAACCATCCAGTTCAGAGGGGAAAGGCAGACTTACTCAGAAAGATGTGCCCTGTTAACAGGGAGGCCACAAGTACTTCCATTCAGAAATTACCTTCCTGATTTTCAGTTTAGGGTATAAGCACCTCTAACAAGATAAAGGATTCATTTTACGGAAAATCAGAAATACTTTCCACTTTGCTCACCACAATAAAAAGAAAATTCTCAATTATCCCATAATGGAGAATGGGAGAAGCATACAATAATGGATGACCCAAACTAGCAGTCTGTACGAAAACTCCCACATGGCTTGGACATAAACTGTAATTTTAAATATCTTTAGGCTAAAAATTCTTTTCATGTTCTTTGAAATAAACTTTGAGCCTTTAAGTATAAAGCAGCAAACGCAAGTAGACAGCAGCAAGGGATTTTAAAACACACTATAAACAGTTAATGATTATTAATAACAGTCTCAAGCCATAGGCTGAGCCTCAGTTTCCGCATCTGCAAAATATGACTAATAATAGTACTTATATCAGCAGATACAAGTAAAGAGTCTCTAGCACACAGTAGGCACTCAATAAATTTTGATTATCATTCTTATTTGGAGTTTTCCTATTAGGAAAAAACAATCATCAAACTAGAGATTATTAATGACAGTATTTCCTAAGTATGCTGCAATCCTCTAAGCCCACTCTTTGGATTTAGTTTTCCTTACATATTAAATTAACAAGGGCACATCAGTTACATTTATTTCAGCTCTCTTTATCAATAGGTAAAAATAAATAAAATTAATAGATAAAAAATTAAGGCCTTTTTGTTTTTGCCATTCAACCTGTTTCACTGCAAAGTCCCAAACTTTCCCCAAGGGAGGATGGGAGTTGAGGGGCTATTTCCAAAGTGGTAAAAATTAAAATGGGAAAAAAACCAGATCCCTACATTAGTAGGTTAGTAGAGTGGGACTCACTAGGATAGTATGACATTAAAACTTAATGCTTAAAAACACTTTAAACAAAGGACTCTGTATAATGTGTCCAATTAAGTATGTGATGTGGTTATTTGTGTTAAGTTATGAGATTTCAAAGAACTGATCACAAATCTACACAAACTTTCATCTGGAAGTTAACTGAACATACAAAGCCCATACTTTTCAACTCAGTACGTAAAAAGTTTTCCAAACATGCAAAGAAGATGTGAGAGTAGTTGGTGACTATGTGATAAACACATACAAAAGCACACCAACACATTCAAACTTGTATTTTTAAGAGGCAAATAAATAGGCCTCAGAAAAATATACTCAATGTATTCAAAATCCTTTAAAGGCCTCTGAAAGGAAGTTAATTTCTCTCCAATTAAGTTATTCGGGGTAGTCTTATAAAGATAACCTGTGGGCAATATAACTCTAAATTACAATTTTTCAATTCAAATTGAAAATCAATGTCCCTAGACTCTTTAATTACAGAAGGGTGAGTCTTGTTTTGTTTTTCATGAAATTGGGAGTTCTGGGTTGAAAATCCAATTAAAATTCCTTGAGACGAGTTTGTAATAATTCAGATACAGAACTACAATCCTAACAAACTGAAACAGCTAGAGTGAAATTATAGACTAATGTAACAAGACAGGTTTTCCAATTCAGAAGAAACAATTTGGAAATACTTTCACGTGATGTGAACATTTTAAGTGAAATTCAAGGTATGTCACAGAGGGAAGTGGCAAACCCTAAAGAAAGTTTTGAAAAATGTGAAACACTTATTTTCAAACGACTGGGTCTTTGAACCTAAGGGCTATTTCAAAATATGTGAAGCACAGGCACTACGGCAAATACGAAAGGTTTTAAAGTTATCTGCCAACTTCTCCTCACCTGTTAACTGAACCAAATTGCGATTATACATTTAAGTAATCAAAAAAGCTCGCATAAAATAGTTCCACACTTGCAAGACGTGTACACAAACTGTACACAAAATTCTGCATTATTATAACTGAAAAAGACAACACTGGGAAACACAAATCTATCTTCTCAAGGTAAAGAAGCATTTTCTCTGCCGAATGCAGAGTTGCCAGATCCATGAACCGGTGTTGCCAACCTGCAACAGCCTCAAAAAAATGTAGCAGAAAAATAGTTTTTAAAGGGGGGCGGGGAGGCCACAGCAAAACGTTCTCCAAAGAGTGAAACACCTAAGAACTTTCTTCGCTCCGAGAAAGTTTCACGCCTGCTTTACAGATGAGTGAACTAAGGCACAAAATCGGATTAATCAGTGCCTTTCTCAAGGTCACTCTAGTGCAAAAGAACAGCACGGTCCGGGCTCCCGATCCTAGGCCCCCGACCTCTCCACACGCCCGGGCAGCACAGCTCAAACGTGCTGGGCTCCCCTCGTCCCCGCAAGTGCAACCAGGCGCTGGGAAGAAAAAGACATTTCGAGCGCTCTCTATGCAGCTAACTCCGAGAGGACTGGGGTGCTGGTGGCCCGCCCTCCCCCAGGGCGGCAGCCTCCCCCAGCCCCAGGCGCCCCCTCCGTTCCCTTAAAAGACCAGTGGCCCCCCAACAACCAGGTATGTGGCCCGGAGCCGTGGGGGAAGGCAAGGGTCCCGCCGCAAGGGGCTTCACTTACCATCGCTCTCGGCCCTGACAAGCAGGGACATGCCCTTCAGCCGCTCCACGTAGCCGGACGACACATGCCCTGTGCCCCGGTCGTCCCACTGCCGGTCCTCATTGAGCGTGTAAACCTTCACCCGCCGCCGGGTGTCGGTCATCGTGCCGCCCGGGGGCCGGGGCAGAGGCCCCGCTGGAGTCGCCCAGGAAGGGGGGCCGGGACACGCGGGAGCCAAGGCGGGAGGACGCCCGCAAGCGGAGGACTCACGGGCCTCACTGCCGCCGCTGGCCGCCGCGGGATCGCGGTACCGCCCGCATGGCCCGCTCCCGGGCCCGACCTCTGGGCCCCGGTCTTTCCTCGCCTCCGACTCCTCGGCGCTATTGTCCAAGCCCGGCGAGCCCGGCCGCCCCGAGAGGGGCGCGCAGCGCTTCACAGCCTCCCGGCCCGATGCGGTAGGAACTCGGAGCGCCGGTCACTGCCCTGCTCCCGCCTCCGCCATGATCTCCGCGAAGCCGCTTCCCGCGCCGCCGCCGCCTCCTCAGGCCGCCGCCGCCATGTTTTCCTTCCTTATACCTGGCCCTGCCACCGCAGCCAGTGGCTCCGCTCCGCTCCTCTGCTTCAAATGTCTCAAGCCGAGGGGCGCCTGCTCCTGCTGCAACTGCTACCACTGCGCAGGAGACTGCGAGAGCCCCCAGACGCACGAGCGCTCCTGCCTCCTGGAAGTCCCTTTCCCTTGGCCGCTGCCGCCGCCTCTTCCGTCTTCCTCACACAGCCAAAGCCGCCGCCATCTTGGTTCGCCCTTCAATAGCGGCGCGCGGGGCCACCCAGGCAGCAGCTGCAGGGGCAGCCCGTTGGCCCCACCATTTAAAGAGACAGGAGCGACGCCGGGAGCCTCGCTGCGGCGGAGGCTTCGGACGGAGGCGGGAGGCGGGCGCCGAGCAGCCGAGGTGGCGGGAGCGCAGGGAGCGGAGGAGGCGGAACGCTGGTCGCGCCGGTGACGGCCCGGGGCTCCCTCGCGCTCCCTGCACGCACCGTCGTGCGAGCGCGGGGCGGCGTGTGCGCCGTCGCGCCCTGTGTTCGTCATCAGCCCCGCTCGGGGATTCGAAAGAGGCGTGGAGCCCGCCTCCGGCCTCGGCGCGCCTACTCGCCGCGCGTCTGGCGTCTCCGGCTCCGAGGGCGGCGGCCTCCCCGGTTCCTCGCTGTCCGGCAGCCGCAGCCGTTGCCTGCCCTACAGGCGCCGGGCTCCGTCGCCCTGGAGCTCTCCCGCGGCGCCTCCGCTTCCGCCTCCCTGTCCACGAGTGTCCTCTCCTGGGCGCCGGGAGCGCACGGTTGGGGAGGCGCCGGAGCCTCGCGGACTTCAGGCGTTTCTCCTTCGGGGAGAAATTGAAAAGCTTCCGGGAAAGGCCGCAGGTTTGCGTGGCGAGGGCCTCCGCACGTCTTGGGAGCCGCCATGGGGCACGCACTGGTGTGGCGAGTCTAGAAACGGGACGGCTGGCACCGAGCCCGAAGTGACAAGTCTGAAGCCTCACCTTACAGTCCAGCTGCCGCCGCCATTCCTTTATTCTTTATCAGAACTGTTCTTTTCTAGTCCTCCATGTTGCAAAAAAGAACTTGAAGGGCTCACGAAACCAGATACGGATATGCTATTGTATAATCGGGATGAGTAATTCTCAACGTGATATGTTAAGCACTGCTAATCTTCACAAAGGAGTCGATCTCATTCCAAATTCTCATTCTCACGCAAGAGCCGCCGTTTTAGGGGCTTTTAATATTTGCCAGGCTGTCGAGGTCATTGCTGCCCACTAGAAATAAAATGAGCCACATGTAACTTAAAATTTTACAGTAGCCACTTTTTGAAAAAGTACAAAGAAACTGCTGAAACGTATTTTAATGAGGTATGTTATTGAATGCAGTATCTTCAAAATATTAATCATTAGTATAAAGTTAACGATATTTTACATTCCTTTTTTTGTACTAAGTTCAAGATGCGATGTGTGTTTTACCTCTGGTGTAAATTTCTACTTGGAAGCTAAATTTTCATTGGAAATTCCTAATCTGTATTTAGTTTATTAAATTTACAATTGAAAAAGTAGATTCACATATTCAAGTTATTTTCAGTTTTTTTCCAAAAACATTAATTTTTAAATGTAAAATTTAATTAAAGTTTAATATTCAGTTCCTTATTCACACTAGCCACATTTCAAGTGCTCAGTAGCCACATGTGTTTAGTGGCCACCATTATGGCAAATTCAGGTGCTTTACATCACCAGGAATCTCATCTGAAACCTGCAAATGCAGTTGGAGTTATACCCATCTATCAGGAAGAGGCCCTGACAGCATGACCAGTACTGAGGGGTTTCCCAGGATGTGGGATTTTCTGTTTTAAAATCAGAAGTTGGGGCCTTCCTTCCTCACTGCCAAATACAAAGAGGTGCTTACAAAGAACAGTTGGAGACTTTCATCTTTTGCAAACAAAAGGGGAAAACTATAAAAATAAAACAGTTGTCTCTAAAAAGTAAAACGCAGTAATTTCAAGCATCAGGGCATGACGGCAATTTTGTCCACTTTTGATGCAGTGAGACATCATTAAATTTATTTACGTTATTACTTGATCCCTAAACCAAACATAAAATAATTTGTGGAAAAAATCAACTGGATACACTGCCATCACTCTTACCTTCCTTCTAAAACTCTCTACATTATAGCTGGTGGTGCTGTTGGCTAAGTAAGTACAATTTAGCCAACCAAAATGTTTTTATTTCTGCTATTTGCATTTTTCCCCACTCTAAGTAAGAGAAAGAACTTGAGCCGCTTAGAGAAAACCCCTCTCCTGAAAATCAGCCCTTGCCATGATGGCAGGTATTGGTAGGAGGGGACCTGTGGGGTGGAACGCTATAAAACGTGTCTAGGGGCTCCTGGGTGGCTCAGTCCGTTAAGCATCTGCCTTGGGCTCAGGTCATGATCTCAGGGCCCTGGGATGAGGCTCCGCGTTGGACTCCCTGCTCAGCGGAGAGTTTGGTTCTCCCTCTCCCTCTCCACACCCGCACTCGTGTTCTCTCTCACTTGCTCTGCTCTCTCTCTCTCAAATAATCTTAAAATAAAACTGGTGTCTACTCAGGAGGCAGGTGCTCTGATGTACAATGTGCTCCTTGAGTGGATTCTTTCATAGCCAAGCCAACTTCCCAGGTAAGAACAAGCCAAGCACTTGAAAAAAGAGGTCTAGAATGAACTAAATCATGGTCTATAAAGAGCCATTAATGTCCTGTCACTCACCGTGCAAATCTGTCTTGAAAAAGAAGACCCAGCTCCTGAGACTGCTTTCGATCTAGGGGAGGAAAATCAGGTTGGGGAGAGGGGAGAGGTGACTGATGCCAATATGGCTTTTCCTTGTTCTCTACCACAGCTGACAAGTCTCCTCTCTCACCCTTTTTCGAGACTGGTGTCAAAGAGTGCTTTATTTGGTTGAGATGCATGGGTGGTTAATGAAGATTTGAAATGAGGTGTCTCCAAAACAAGTTAGTCCAGAGCCATTTTCTAATACTTCAGATAAAAATTTGAGTCATTTTCACTTTTTGCCCCCCACCTTTGTACTTAGTCCCTCACCAAGGCCTGCTGACTTTCTTCTCTTTCATATCCCCTGGATTTGATTCTGCTGTTTTATTTCTTTGGTCATCACCGTAAGATTTGTTGTACCTGAAATTCTCCAACTCAGTTACAAAAGGTGACTCCAGAAACTGCTGATACTCTGAAATGGAATGGCTCAGAGCCCTGTGAAGAACACCCCCAGGCGCTAGCAGAATATAGCCGCATTAGCATCAGCATTCATATTAGTTTGCAGGGCAATGAAGAACCCAGAGACTTCTTTCAGTCTGCCTGCTACCAGGAGAGTCTCCCGCCTATCTCCCAAGCCCTCATGCAGGACATTCCATGCACCCAGAGGTAAAAGCAAGCATTCCTGAAGACTGGCCAAAGGAAGTAGTTATAGCAATAAAGAGAAAGAGGAGATTGGATATTGGAATTATCCATGGGGAATGTCAGCATACACATGCTTTCTCAGTTTTGTACATTTCCCTCAGCCCCCTTTCTGCGGCTTGCTAGGTGTTCAAATAGCTCTAGCTCTGCGTATTATTCAGGTGACGCCGAATGTGGCAATCACACCTCACAGACCTCTATTTTTTTTAAGATTTTATTTATTTGAGAGAGCACGAGCGGGGGGAGTGGCAGAGGAACAAGCAGGCTCCCTGCTGATGTGGGGCTCAATCCCAGGATCCTGACATCATGACCTGAGCCAAAGTCAGACGCTTAACTGACTGAGCCACTCAGGTACCCCCCCCTTGCAGACCTCTTTTTACAAGGAATGTAATTCACCCAGGACCCCAGCTGCTGCGCTCTGAAATTTATCACTGTGCCTGCTCCCCACCAATGACTGGATTCAACAGGATACTAAGGCAGATATTCCTGGGAAACATCTCCCGTAGGCTGTCTTGGGCTCAAGGACTCCAGCAGCCTTGTCAAACCTTCCTTAGGGTGCACTACATTCTAGAATGCTTCCATCCAACCTTCTCTCCCTCTTAACTTAACTCAGAGTTGGACGCATGCCTCTCCCAGCCATTCTAGCTCTCTATTTCCTTTTTTTGGGGGGGGGGCCTCATTGGGTTTTTGGTTTTTTTTTTTAGATTTTTATTTATTTATTTATTAGAGAGCGAGCGAGAGAGAAACAGCGTGAGAGAGGAGAGGGTCAGAGGGAGAAGCAGGCTCCCTGCCGAGCCGGGAGCCCGATGTGGGACTCGATCCCAGGACTCTGGGATCATGACCTGAGCCGAAGGCAGTCGCTCAACCAGCTGAGCCACCCAGGCGCCCCTCTCTATTTCCTTTTACCTAAGTTTTTCCTCTGATAAAATCCTTACATGCTTAATCTCATCTTGGTGTGTGCTTTTTGGAGGACACAGACTAGCGCTAAATTCAGCTCTTAGGCACAGTAAGTCTTTAAATGTAAAAAGAGATAAATCTTGATTTATCCACAATATAAGATTTTACCTGGGGGACGCCTGGGTGGCTCAGTTGGTTAAACGTCTGCTTTCGGCTCAGGTCATGATCCCAGGGTCCTGGGATCGAGTCCCACAAGGGGCTCCTTGCTCAGCGGGGAGCCTGCTTCTCCCTCTCCCTCTGCCTGCTGCTCCCCCTACTTGTGTTCTCCCTCTCTCTGGCAAATAAATAAAATCTTTTTTAAAAAAAAGATTTTGGGGTGCCTGGTGGCTCAGTCATTAAGCGTCTGCCTTCAGCTCAGGTCATGATCCCAGGGTTCTGGGATCGAGCCCCGCATCGGGCTCCCTGCTCCACGGGAAGTCTGCTTCTCCCTCTCCCATTCTCCCTGCTTGTGTTCCCTCTCTTGCTGTGTCTCTCTCTGTCAAATAAATAAATAAAATCTTAAAAAAAAAAAAAGATTTTAACTGGAAATGAGAAAACTAAACTTACACATAACTACACTTATGTTGAGGCCTGCTGGGTTATATACTGAGAGTTAATATGTATGTTCTTAATGTATTTGATTTTTATAATGTTTGCTAAAGTTCTACAGAATGAGAAGAATGTTTCTAGTACAACTATCACTTTGTTCTAAGATTTTTCCTAAGAATTCTGATTTCTCTCCAATACAAAAAGATTGTCTTTTTTCAAATTTACATCTGCTTGAATTTTAAGAAGGACTTCCGGATGAAAAGATCATGTATATCCTCCCTGCTCTTGTCTGAGTAGACCAGATTCCTCTTAGATCATGTCAAATCTGGATTTTTTTTTTTTTTTATCTGACACTTTACTCATCCCTAAAGGGACTGAGTTGTGTTAGTTTCACATCTTTGGTGACCAGACCACAAGGGCTCCTTATTTGTAGGAAGTGCTTCATGGTAGATAATTTTTTCAGATTATTTGGCAGAGAAGAAATAATATAAGTGTATTTTGAATTTAAAAATGCATCCATACACTCCTTATTTTCAATTTGTTTTTCCACCTTTTGATAACCAGAAAGGTAGTATAAGTGGCCAAGGATGATAGTATCAACATGAAAGCATGAAAGTTATTTATTTAGCTATATTTAAATCAGAAATCAAATGTTTGTGACTTAGTTTTTGTCACTCCAAATATTCTAACTTTGTATTTGAGAATTATATGGTTATACTTAAGTGATGCAAAAATTCTGTACCTTACCCCTTGACCATAGTGGTTAGGTTAGTATTTGACAAAAGCCAGAACAATCAAAATGTTGCCTGGATTTTTCAGATTATCACTAGGTGAGAAATATTCTTACCTCCTGAACATGACAGCTAGAAAGGTGTGGTATAGGGCTGCCTATCCCCAGGTTCCCTGCCTCCCTACCCCACCCCCAATGTAGACAAATATGTCTGCATCAGAAAGAATAAAGCAGAACATTCTTTTGGGAGTCCAATTATCTCCCAAGCCAGACCAGGTTTGTTGAGGTTCTGAGGTCTATAAGAAGGGAGATGAATACAGGTTGCCTGAGTCGCTCAGTTGGTTAAGCCTCCGACTCTTGATTTCGGCTCAGGTCATGATCTCAGACTCGTGAGTCAGGCTCTGTGCTCAGTAGGGAGTCTGCTGGAGAATCTCTCTCTTCCTCTCCTTCTGACCCACCCCCATGCTCTCTCGCTCTCTCTCTCTAAAATAAAAAATATATATATTGTAAAGTGAGATGAACTTGCCCTTTCATCTATAGCCTACCTTGGCCCTGAAACTTACCTTGTATTATTGGTCGTAAATGAAATCTCTTTCCTTAGAGTTCCATGAGTAAACATCATCTAACGTAGTTAAAAAACTTGCTCTCGAGTGCTTTGACATTTTTCCCCACTAAAAATGGAGTCTCTGTCTCTTCCTTTTAAATCTGGGCTGGCCT